AAGGCAACACAAGAGATTATTTTGAACTGGGATATAAATAGTTTCTGCCTCATCCAACCAGTGGAAACTGTTTTCTGGACAAGAATCCAAGCCATTGTATCTTCTCAGAGAGCAGTGTAATGTGCAATTTTACTTTGTTGGATCTGGTGAGGATGGAGAAACTGAAAGGAAAACAATAATTGTTGTCTCAGTCTAAAAGATGCTAAATTTACTTTCTTCAAAGTGAGAATCTTAGTAAAAGGTTAGGCACTCAGACTGCAGAATGTAGAAAATAAAATAAATAGTAACAAGAGAACATTTTGATTAGATTTTAAGAGCTGTCTCTATGTTACTTCTGCACTAATTTTGTAGATTGATCAGGTTTTCATCAGCATGACAGAGGAAAATAAATAATCTAGAAAATGAATGATTCAGTGGTGAGAGTAAACATTTTACTACACAATACAAGATAAACTAACTAAATCTAAACATCTCCACAGCACGACGTCCAAAATGATGTCTCAAAGTTTGGCCCCAGTGGGGAAACATCGGTCCAACATTTCACCAAGTAGATCAGAAGGAAAGAGTCTGAGTGTTAAACCATTCAGGTCTAAATACTCACTGGTTAAAACATTCAGACACACATCTGACATGGTACTGGTTCCAGGTCTACAGATGAAGATTCCAGCATCATCATCATCGATGTTGTTGATGGTCAGAGAGCAGCTGCTGTCCATCTTTAACCTGGAAGCTCGAGGTGAACTCTGAACAACTTTTCCATTTCTAACCTCTGAGTAAATTGCGCTTGTATCTCTGTTGTAAAGCCAGGAAACAGCAGAGCATGATGAAGATGATGATGATGATGATGATGATGATGATGATGATGATAACAAACAAGGTAGAACAATATTTTCTCCTTCTCTGTGATAGAGATGAAGTTCTCCTCTGGTTCCTGCAGCAGAAACAAAGATGTTAAATTTTTACACAGTTCATCCAACTAAAAACAAACTTGAAGGTAAAATCAGAAGTGTAGTTATTTCCCCAACATGTTTAATTGTTTTCACATTTTTATCTTAGACTTTATTCATTGTCATTGCACAAAGACACATAACTGAAATGTCATAGCTTGGCCACCGAAGCACACACACAAACACACGTGTGCCTATAATTACATAAAATACAAATAATAACATATTGCTAAATATATATAACTTAGCATTTTCCAGCAGTCTCAAACAGTCTTAGTGATGGGTCTGCTGGTTCTGAGCTAGTTCTGAGTCTGACTGTTCTGCAGTAGATGTTACAGAATCTCCTGCCAGACGGATGAACAGACCATGGAGAGGATGGGTGGAGTCAGAGGAGCTGGTTTGCTCTGGCTAAGCAGCATCTGGATGCAATGTTCTGGATAGAGGGGCGTGGAGTCCCAGTGATCCTCTCCACTGTCTTCATTACTCTTCAGAGACTTCCGGTCTGAGGCCTTGCAGCTCCCAGACCAGATGGAGATGCTGCTGGTCAGCAGGGCCTCAATGGCTCCTCTATAGAAGGTGGAGAGGATGGGAGGGGGGAGGGAAGCTCTTCTCATTTGTTTCAGAAAGTACAGACACTGCTGTGCCTTTTTCACCAGTGGAGTGATGCGAGTTGTCCAGCTGAGGTTGTCTGTAATATGAACCCCCAGGAACTTAGTGCTGCTAACGATCTCCACTGCTGTCGCTGATGAGGAGTGGTCTGTGGTTGGGTCAAGACCTCCTGAAGTTGACGATGCTTTTCATGATGTGGTTGGTGTTAAACCTGGATCAACAGGGTCATCAGGGTGACCAGCAGGGGGCTCAGGACACAGCCCTGGGGGGGCAGTGTTCAAAGGAATGACAGTAGAGGTGTTATTACCCACACGGACAGACTGGGTTCTGTTGGTGAGGAAGTCCAGCAGCCAGTTGCACAGTGGAGGGTTGAAGCCCAGGGAGACCAGTGTTGACCAGAGTTGTCTGGTGTTGCTGGCATCATGAAAGAAACCTTGGATCTTTTGTCTGTAGGCATGTTCTGCTGCCTTGATGGAGCCGTTTAGTTTGGCCCTCACTGATCTAAGTCCTGCCATGTCACCAGATTTGAAGGCAGCATTTCGCTCCCTCAGCCTAGTATACATCTCCTTAGTCATCCAAGGTTTCTGGTTGGCCCGTGTGACTATGGACTTTGTTCTGTAAGCTTCTCCATACCCCACTGGATGTAGTTTGACACTCTGCATTCTCCTCCAGGTCCGTGTGTAGCGGCCTCTCGGAAATGCCCCAGTCTGTGCATTCGAAACAGTCCTGCAGGTCAGACGTAGCTTCCTCAGGTCACACTCTCACCTTCTTCACCACAAGCTTTTCTTTTGTGATGGTGGGATGAGCATAACCGAAAGAGGATCTGTAGAGCTGAGATAGGGGCAGGGTTGCTCTGAAGGCCTTCTTGATGTTGGTGTAGACCAAATCCATCGTATTTTCTCCTCTGGTTGGAAAATCCACATGTTGATGGAAGTTAGGAGGAACAGTCCTCATGTTAGCCTGGTTAAAGTCTCCAGCAGCATTAAAAACACCCCCTGGTATCTGGATTGTCTGTCAGTGTTGGCATGGTAAATAGTACTCAGTGTTTGCTTGGTGTTGATGCTGGGTGGGATGTAGACAGCAAAAATGATAACGGTCGTAAATTCCCGGGGTAGATAGGAAGGTCTGCATCTCACAATCATGAACTCAATGTCCACAGAGCAATGACTGAAGATCAGGGTGGCGTTGTTACACCAGCTGTTAATGTAAATACAAACACATCTCCCCTGGATTGACCACTAAGAGCATGGCTCCTGTCAGCTCTGAAAGTTGCTAACCCATCCAGGCTGATGGCGCAACCAGGGACAGATGAGTTTTGCCACGTCTCACAGAAAATGAGAATGCAGCAGTTTGTTTCCTTTTGGTGGTTAAATCCAGCTTTAGGTTGTCCAATTTGCTTTCAATGGATCGAATGTTAGCACCAAGATGGAGGGAAGTGGCAATCAGAAAGGGTTAGCTTTTAGCTTAGCTGTAAGTCCACCATGACAACCTCACTTTTGTTTTCTCTCATGCCTTCCCTGGTGCCTCAGTAGTAAACTTGATCTAACTGAAAAGTCCAAGGCTTTGTAAAGTTGTCTGTGTCTCTAAATTCATGGAGTCCAGACGACTGAATTTGCTCAGTAGTCTGACGGTCATGGACTGTTCCTGCGCCGTTTCTCTGAGCTGTTGTAGCAGGAAATATTGACTTAAACAATAAATAGGTTGTATTACCGGGAGCTGAAGCCATATAGGGCGCCGCCATGGTAACAAACTATATTCACTTATATTTACAAACTATTTATATATAAACTATCTATAGTAATTGATATCTTCATTCCCTTGAGAGATCAGATGTTTAAACAATGAAAATCATTTCTGAGCATTTCTTTTGTCTAAATGTGACTTGTATTAAAAATGTTTGCTTCTGTAAGATTATGTTTTTTCTTAATTCTCCACAAAATGTCACAATCAACCAAAGTGTTGTCTAACTTATGTCATCTTCATGTGAAAGAAAACAGATCTTTACCTTCAAACTGGAGCACAACGACCAGAACCAGAACCAGAACCAGAACCAACATCTCCTGTCCGTCTATCAGCTGCTGAACTGAGACTTTTCTCTGTTGCTGATCTGAAAACACTGATGATGTTTCCTCTTGATGTCTGAAACAATGGTTGAAAACAGCTTCACACCAACACCCAGCATGTATTCTGTAACTTTGCTCTTATCAGTCTTGTGTTTTCTTTAGAAACTGAACTAAAACCACAAATAGAAGGAACTAGTTGCTCTAACTTTAGTGAGAAATGAACATTCAAAATGCATCCGTTTCACTTTGTAATGCTGAGACATGATTTAGCTGAAGGATCTGTTGGTGAAGAATATAAACTGAAAAATAATACATTTTATTTTGTCTTAATTTCTAGTTTTCTGTACAACAGATGAGCAGTCAAACAGGAACTGTGATGCATACTAATGAGCTGCGGTCAGTCCACTAACAGCAACGGCTCTGAGACTCTGCAGACAGAGAATTAAACCGAGTTGGAACAGAATCCAGGTCAAAGTTCATCACTTAGGCTTCAGACTCAGACCACATTTGGTTGAGACATAATTCATCTCTACTAGAGCTGGACGGCCAGCAAACAGTCATTCACCAATTATACCCATCAGAACTCACAAGCCCCCTCTACTGGTGACAGTTAATATTGACCTGATAATACAACCAGAAATGCCAGCAGTCTGGACCAGAGGCCATCAGATCAGAGAAACAAACTGAGCTGTAATGATCGCTTCCTTCCCATTAAGATGCAACATTAAAGCAAAGTGTTTTTATATGGACTGTAATTGATGTGATGAAGATGAGCGGAGTGCGGCGGCAGCAGAACGTTCTTCGCTCACTGGGTCGTCAACAGCAAAACGAACCTGAAATGAAAGCAGACATTAACTGGACAAAACTGTATTATGGATATTAACTATATTATCAGAGGAAATTCAAAGCATTATGAATGATTCCACAGTTGATCTGTTTATTACTCTGATGGAAGTTTTACACAGTTTAAAAGTCAATAAATCTTTGTCAAACTGCAAGGAAACAATTTAAAGCAAAATTGTTTAAATAATGTTACAAACTAGAAACTTCAAGTCTGAGGGGAAATGTTTGTCATTTATAATCTACATATAAAAGGTATATGAATGTATTCATCATGATTGTTTCTCTTACTTTAATGTCTTTCTGAGGCTTTTTTCTTCCTGCAGTGAAAAACAGAATAAAGTGATTAAAGTGTGTAAATTGTCTCCATGGTAGCTGAGTTTCCTCACCTCTGGTTCTGATGATACCAACAGTGAGTCCAACCATCAGGATCAGTCCTGTGATCTTCAGAGTCAACATGATGAAGCTCAGAGGAGACGAGGCGGGGGGGCCTGAGGAGGAGACGGAGCAGCAACCTGATTGGATCATTTTCATATAAATGAAGAAAGATGAAAATCATTTTACTAAGATGATTGACTGAGCTTCAAAACCAGCAGTGTCTTCTCTCCAGCAGACACTATGTATTTTATTTTAAGACAGAATATTTATTTTATGTGCAGTTCTGATGCACTTCTGTGATTAACTAATAGATTTTAAGGCGTTAAATATTTTAATACAACTGAATTTCATTTTTCCTATGGAACATGGAGATCTACATAAAAGGCAGTGGTGAAGAGTTAAAGTGTCCTGAATAATAAGAACATTCATAAACAATCAAAATGACTAAACATTTACACAGAAGCTGATGATTTTCATCATAGCAATTTAACCAACATGTGAAAATGTGTGATGTGATGACATCATACCTTCTGATCCATAGTGAGCTTCTATCTTCACTTCGTTTCCTTCAACAAACTGGCAGGTGAATCTTCTGCTGCTCTGAAGATTCACAGTGAGAAACGAATCACAGTCAGCCTGACCTCCGAACTTATATCCATCACCTCCACCGAACAGTTCACCTCCTGTCTCATTCAGCCAGCGGAGGCTTTTATAAGGACAGGAACCCAACACACTGTGTCTCCACAGAGAGCAGCGTAATGTGATCGCTCCATCATTTGATGGATCAGCATCAGATGGAGAAACTGAAAGGAAAACGAAAACTGTCAGTCTGAAAGATGTTAAAGTAACTGTGGAGAAACTTCACAAATGCAATTTTATCTCAGGCTGCGACAAGCAGAATAAAAAACAGTAGCAAGGAAACTCCCTGATACATTTTTAGATGTTAACTGAGTGTTACTTGGTGATTGATCTGAACTAATAATACAGATCTGAGCAGATTTACATCAGCATGATGGAAAAAACAAAAAGTCTAGAAATTAAATGATCCATTTCTTTGATCAAACATTGAACCACATTTAAAGACAAACTGATTAAATCTAAACATCCTCAGCACAACGTTCACTCTGATGAGCGACTTCATGACGTCATCACAGCTTGGCCCCGCCCCCAGATCAGACAGGAAGGAGAAGAAACAGCAGAGGACAGAAATAAATCTTCATCAAGGGTTGGTATGAAATTAATGTCTTTAATATCATGGATATGATCGTTTCTCTCTGACTGAACAACATGTGACCTTCTGACTGCATCAGGTCACTGAGAGGTTCCCTCATGTTAAAGTCCAAAGAAGTTCAAGGTTCAGAGAAAAAGGAAATCAGAACTGATGATGTCAGAAACATCTGTCCAACATTTCACCAAGTAGATCAGAAGGAAAGAGACTGAGAGTTAAATCATTCAGGTCTAAATACTCACTGGTTAAAACACTCAGATACAGTAAGGTGGATCCTGAACCGGATCTACAGCTGAACCATCCAGCATCTTCAGCAGTGATGTTGTTGATGATCAGAGAGCAGTTACTGTTCATATGTAGCCTTGAAGCTCGAGATGAACTCTGAACAACGTTTCCATCCTGAACCTCCAGCTGAGTGTTTTGGTTTTTATCCGTGTTGTAAAACCAGTTAACGTCGTGGCATGAGGAAGATGATGATGACATGATGTCACATGGTAGAGCAGCTTCATCTCCAGCTCTGTGGTAGAGATGAAGTTCCTCTCCTCTGGTTCCTGGAGCAATAATGAAAACAAATTAAAGTTTTACACACTTCATCCTTCACCAAAAAAAATATGATGACATTAGAAATGCAGAGTATTTTTTCTAATATGTATAAACTGGTAAAACACATATTTAAAATATTCTAATTTCTAGTTGATATATTTATTCTCTGACAAGTTGAGACAATAAAGAATATCCTCTGAACATTTTTATATCTCGAAATGTTTACTTCTGCACATTAATTCACATATTTCCATAAAATAACTCAAGCCAAAGTTTCCTTTAATTTTTCTCATCTTCATGTGAAAGAAAACAAATTTTTACCTTCAAACTGAAGCACAACGACCAGAACCAGAACCAGAACCAGAACCAACATCTCCTGTCCGTCTATCAGCTGCTGAACTGAGAGACTTTTCTCTGCTGCTGATCTGAAATTACTGAACAGTAGTTCCTGTTTGTGGCTGAATTAAAGGATATAAACAGCTTCACACCAACACCTACAAACTTCTGTGTTTTCTAGAAACTGACAGAGAACCACAGACAGAAGGAACTAGCTGCCTGAACTGCAGTTAGAAGTGAACATTTAACAGAAGTGAGGCGTTTCAGCTGAAGGAGGTGCTTGTGAAGAACAGGAATCATAAACTGGATTATATAGCTCAGATTTGTTTTGTCCAACCTCTATAGATGCATTTGCATCAGTGAAAGAGGAAGTGTGAAGTTTGCAGTCAGTTCTCTAACACCAGCAGCTCTGACGCTAAAACAGAACAGAATCAGGTCAAAGTGAAGCGCAAACCGGCCTGAGAGAGAGACTTCCTAATGTCTGCTAGAAACTAATTATATTTATACTACAAGTCCCAGAATGCTCTGCGAATTGAAGAAGAAACCTCAGTTGTCTGGCCATCAAAATAGATAAAAAAGAACCAAATTGTTTCTTAATAATATTTTTCTTTTTCATTTTTATCATATTAGAGAAAGTTTCTATTGAAAATCAACTCAGGCGGTAATAAACCAGAAAAAAGACTCTTTCCTACATTTTATTTTAAAAATTTGCCAGGCAGTTTCTATGCACAAAAAAGTCAACACTTTCATGAGTTGAGTTCTTGTTTTGAGAACATTGAACTGAATTATCATGTTTCTTTAGTGTTTAAAGTCAACAGAATGAAACTGATATTATTGTCTTATTGTCTTTTATGGATGAATGAAAGAGATACAGTGAATTTCTCAGGGAAAAACTTTGGATATTTCATGGACAAAGAGCTGCAGCACTTCAGCTGAGTGTCTCATCAGGCAGCAGAGTTTCAGTTCAACAACTGGATCTTCCCTCCGCCGCCTTAATTCATGTTAATCTGCAAATGACTTCATCACATTTTTAACCTTTATTTTAGAGAAATTATGCTAACTAAATGAGAACTAGTTTATGTTAGAGCTGTTAAAAAGTTATATATTGAACAATCAAAATGAATCAGTTCATTTTAACCTGACTAAAGTGAATTATAGTTCTTGTAAAGGATAAATAAAACGTTGTTTTGCTCTTGCTTGATGTTCTGAGCAGAAAGTTTTTCTGGTGTTGAAGATTTCCTTGGTTTTCTGAACTTGACTTTTTATAAAATATGAAATTTTACTATTGATCATTAAACACAAACTGTGTGACTGAACATCAGAGCAGAGTTTGAAAATAATAACTGTTACTTCACATAATAGATAAATGCAACTTTTCAGCTAATGACAAAAAATTATTTAAAACAACCAGCCTGCAAAAATAAGCCTTAATATATATTTATTAAGGAATACAAATAATAAAAATATGAAGACGGTGCGAAGGCATACATATGGATGCAGCATCAAAATGAAGCATTGTTTTTATATGAACTGTAACGGATGTGATGAAGCTCAGTGCAGTGCGGCGGCAGCAGAACGTTCTCCATCATTTTCATAATCCACTGTGTCGTCATCAGCAGCAAAACGAACCTGAGATATTTAGAGAGAAATATCAGAGCAGAAATTTATTTTACTACAGCATCTCCTCATTAGTCAGGTAGAATAACAGCTTTACACAATTTAGAAGTCAAAAACTTTATTTTCTAACAAGATTTAAAGCAAATACTATAATGGGAAAATATTTAAAGCAATACTGCTTAAGTACTTTGACAGTAATTTGACAGTTATTATCTACATATGAATATGTATATGAATGAATTTTTCATGCTTGTTTCTCTTACTTTAATGTCTTTCTGAGGCTTTTTTCTTCCTGCAGTGAAAAACAGAATAAAGTGATTAAAGTGTGTAAATTGTCTCCATGGTAGCTGAGTTTCCTCACCTCTGGTTCTGATGATACCAACAGTGAGTCCAACCATCAGGATCAGTCCTGTGATCTTCAGAGTCAACATGATGAAGCTCAGAGGAGACGAGGCGGGGGGGCCTGAGGAGGAGACGGAGCAGCAACCTGATTGGATCATTTTCATCTGGTTTAGGAAGGAAATAGTTTCAACATGATGGTGGACTGAACATCAATCTGAGAGTCTGAGACTTTGGATCCACATTCAGAACCAGGAGAACCTGAACCACCATGATGGAGAAGAAAACTGGAGATCTACATAGAAACTGAGGTGTGGAAAGTTTCATTTCATCATTTTAACTTCTTCATAAAAATCAGACATCATACCTTCATGTTGGTAGTGAGCTTCTATCTTCACTTCGTTTCCTTCAACAAACTGGCAGGTGAATCTTCTGCTGCTCTGAAGATTCACAGTGAGAAAAGAAACACAACCAGTCTGTCCTCCTGATTTATATCCGTCACCTTCACCAGTCAGTTCACTTCCTGTCTCATCCAACCAGAGGAGACTTTTAACTGCACAAGGACTCAATGAACAACGTAATGTTACGTCTCCATTCTTTGTTGGATCAGAACCTGGTGGAGATGAAGAGACTGAAAGAAAACATAATAGTGTTTTAACATGAAAATTATTTCATTAATTGAAGGTGAGAAACTTTGAACATCTTTAAGCGATGATCCGTAGAAAGAATGAAAATGGAGCTAATTTTGAAGTTAGATCCTATCTGATGTTAAATGGAAAACTCCAGAAATGGATTTCAGTTTTAGAAATTGGAGTCATAGCATTCATTTCCAAGTACTTACTGCTCATTATATTTAGATATACATCTACATCATGGCTGCCTCCCTCCCAGAGCTGACAGCTGTAATGTCCAGCATCCTCAGCAGTGATGTTATTGATGATCAGAGAAGATTTATTGTCCAAACTCAGCCTGGCAGCACGAGACGAATTCTGCACAATGATTCCTTCCTGAACTTCCTGCTGACTCTTCATGTCTTTAGCTCTCTCATGAAGCCAGTTAACAGTGGAGCATGATGATGAAGTCTTTCTACAGGGTAAAACAGCAACATCTCCAGCTCTGTGGTAGATCTGGACTGACTGCTTCCTGGTACCTGAAGAAAAAGACAAAGATTTTATGCTACATGTAGCTTTTTACATCAGTCTCTGTGATGCTCAGTTAGAATTAATTTACAACAAATTCTGTTAAAAATAAGACATTTTAAAAATATTATTTTGCCAGATTTATTTTCATAAAGTGATTTATTGCTGGTCAACAATATAAATCATGGCGAGAACGGCCCTGATCAAGTGCCATATTTGCTCATTTCCTCTTAATTTATCTAACTCAGTACTGCCATCTAGTGGCTACATTTCCTAACAACGCCAACTTCAACTCACTGACAGCTTGACAGATCTACAATGTTAGAAAAGGAAGAACATGTTTGCATTTGCAAACAGATCATTTGCTTTTAGAAACACTGGATAAAAAGACTGGCTTTTGTTTTTAAAGCAACAAGTTTTGTCCTCTTTGCTTTCATAAAGTCCAGTTCAGTGATCCAACCATAGGACACAATGAAAGAAATATTAGCATCAATAAATCAAACACTTTTACTTTCAGGTGAGAAACTGATTTAGAGATGTAATATCAGTTTCTGCTCATCACCAGGTTCTCATTCACTCAGAAAGGAAACAGCATCATACCGATAAATCCCGGCGGGTAGCGAGCGTCAACTTTCATGCAGTTTCCTTCAACAAACTGGCAGGTGAAGCTTCTGTTGGTGCCGCTCTGATGCTGCACAGCCAGAGAGGAATTCCAGGTTCGTGGTCTTGTTAAAAGTAACCCAACACCTTCACCTGTCAGCTCAGTTCCCGTCTCATCCAGCCAGCGGAAACTGTTCCTGCGACCAGAACTCCACCCCACATATCTGCTCAGAGAACAGTGCACTGTGAAATCTTCCTTTGCTGGATCAGCATCTGGTGGAGATGGAGAAACTGGAAGACAAATAAAAACTGTTGTCTTATTCTGGAAGATGTTAAAGTAATTTCTCAAAGGTGAGAGCCTTAAAGGGATAGGAGTCTCAGATCTGAGCAGGTTTTCATCAGCATGACGGAAGAAAAATAATCCTGAAACTAAATGATTCAGCGATTTGAACAAACATTGGACCAGACACATAGTTCCTTCATAAAAATGTCATAAAAATGCTATGTGTAGCAAATATGACATAAAAATATTTGACTTCATAACTGAATGCTATTGGGTCTCTGTCTCTTTAAGAAATCCTGCACATTCTGAAACTCCACCTTCAGGAAGTTGTCACAACATGGCACCTCTATTCGCCCTTCAACAACGTTTTACAAGCGTTGCTCTAAGAAGTAGCTCCTATAATGAGCTCATCTGATGCTCAGTCCTATCAGGTGTTTGCTAATTGCTGCTGGATGGTCTGAAGGAACCAGGCTAGGCTGCTGGCTAGTCTGAAGGAACCAGGCTAGGCTGCTGGCTGGTCTGAAGGAACCAGGCTAGGCTGCTGGCTGGTCTGAAGGAACCAGGCTAGGCTGCTGGCTAGTCTGAAGGAACCAGGCTAGCTGCTGGCTAGTCTGAAGGAACCAGGCTAGGCTGCTGGATGGTCTGAAGGAGCTGAGTGGAGTTATGGGGAAGGGCTGCTCTGTGAGGCAGAAGTTGTGAACTGCATCTCTGAGGAGTAGCTGTGTCGTAAAAAGGTGGGGCTACGTCCCACAGAGTGTTTTGCACAGCTGAAGTGTTGCCATGCAGATGGGAGGATTTCTCAAACATGCATGAAAGAATCAAAGCAACACTCCAGGTTTATTTCTGATGAGGGAATAACGTTATAGCATGATGTAAAGCTTTTACATGATACTGCCCCTTTAAATCTAAAAAACCCAACAGCAAAACCAAAGAAGTTCAAGGTTTTAGAGAAACTGATGATGTCAGAAATATTTGTCTAACATGAGTAAATCATTCAAGAATACATACTCACTGGTCAGAACAAACAGATAAACTCTGCTCTCATCCAAATAACTTGAAGCCACATAACAGATGTAATCTCCAGCATCATCAGCAGTGATGTTGTTGATGATCAGAGAGCAGTTACTGTCCACATCCAACCGGGAAGCTCCAGGTAAACTCTTAACAACTTTCCCATAATGAACCACTTCGCAAGGCGTTCGATTTCTGTGTAAAACCCAGTCAACAGTGGAGCATGGGTAACGTAAGGTACTGTTACAAGGTAGAACAAGATCTTCTCCAGCTCTGCGATAGAGATGACGTTCTCCACTGGTGCCTGCAGCAGACAAATAAGACACATGAAAGCTGATCTCATTTCCTATCTTTTAGATTATTGCAACTCTCTTTTTACTTGTTTTAATAAATCTGCTGTCACTCGTCTCCAGTTGGACCGGAAGGCTGCAGTGACACTTTTAAACAAAAACTAACAGAAAGTCACACATTACACAGATTTGATCTTCTCTACATTGACTACTGATTAAATTTAGGATTAATCTAAAAATTTTAGTCTTGATTTTAGAGCGTTAAATGGAGAGGCCAGTCCAATGCAAAATGTTGACCCCTCATTTTCAGCCTGCTCTCTTCAGTCCTCAGCCCAAAACCTTTTTGTCATGATTTGTGTTTCTGTGTATTTATTGTAAGGTTTTTCTGTGTTCAGTTTCTGTCCAGTGAGTCTCTGTCTCTGCGTCTTCCCTGTTGATTGATCCCAGCTGTGTCTCGTTCCTTGATCACCCTCCCAGTGTCTTTGTCTCTTGTCGGGTCCTCGTTGAATGTCATTTGTTGTCTGTCTGCCTGCTGTAACAGTCGAACTGTAGAGTCCTGTGTTGGTTTAGCTCACTTATTCAGTCCTCAGTTTTTCAGTTGCTAACGCTAATTAGCTGTATGCTAACTCTCTGCCGTGCCGCCTGTTCTGGACTGTTTTGAGCTTTCTTCATTCAATTCATCATTTTCTTCTACAACCTGGGTTCCTGCGTTCATCCTCTTCACCTCCCACAAACCACTTTATGACACTCTTGAATGCACCCAAAACCCAGTTTAAAACCAGTTTGAAACCAGTTTGAAACCAGTTTAAAACCCAGTTTAAAACCCAGTTTAAAACCAGTTTACAACCCAGTTTATAACCTCTCAGACTGCAGCCCCCCTGTTTCTCTGTCTATTCCTTCAAAATGAAGCTAAATTAACTTCTATTCAGACAAACTTTTAGTTAAATGTTCTACTTTTGACTTTATTAGGAGTTTGTACCACCTTTGGTTTATTTTATTGCACACACCTTTATTTCTGTGAAGCACTTTGTGATCTTATCTGTGAAAAGTGCAATATAAATAAAGCTTCCTTATTTTCTTTTACACACCTCATTATTCACAGAAACAAACATAAACTTACTGTTCATGTCAACAGTAAGAAATATTTTAATCCCTGTCAGGTTATAAGTTTGAGACAAAAGCCAAAAAATATTTAATCCAAATTTTCTGAAGCATTTTTTATATATTTTGTCGAAACCTGACTAATTGATAAAAGCTATACAAATTTACTTTTGCAAATTCTAAATGTTAGTATTTGTGTCTCCAGTAAATAACAATAAACCAATGAGTCCTTTAATTTTTCTCATCTTCATGTGAAAGAAAACAGATCTTTACCTGCAAACTGAAGCACAACGACCAGAACCAGAACCAGAACCAACATCTCCTGTCCGTCTATCAGCTTCAACACTGAAAATGCTGATAATATTTCCTATTTATGGCTAAATTTATGGTTGAAAACTTCATGCCAAGCCCTGTGGTTGTGTCATACTTGTATGTTTTCTAGAAGGTGACAGACAACCACAAAGAGAAGGAACTAACTGTACAAACTTTAGTCAAAAATTAACATTTAAATTACATTTAACTGTTTCACTTTGCAACATTTAGAACAACTGAGGGGAACCGAGTTTTAGCTACAGGTTCTGATTGTCAAGAACATAAACGAGGCAATAAATTAACTTTTATTTTTATAGTTTCTAAGGTTTTTTGTACTCCTGTTGCACAACCTTGTAACATTCTTTGCTTGGGGAGTCAAAGAGGAACTGTGATGCATGCTAATGCTAAAGAGCTGCGGTCAGTTTGTTGTAATGAATTTATATATAATAAAACCAAATGTAATCTTATTGTTATCAGTTTAGTTTTTAAATAATAATTATAATAGAAACAGTGATGTAATGGTCATATATTCCAGTTTCGGCCAGCTGCCATTTTGTGCTGATCAAGGTCTGAAAACTGCACGAGAAAGTCTTCCTGTTTAACTACATTAAAACAGAAATCCAGATAAAACTAAAACCAGGTCACCAGGGAGAACCGCCCACTGACCAGCAGGGGGCAGCAACACACTGCTGCCTCCCACGCTGCTAAAAACTGAAACACTAAACAAAAACACGCCCTCTAGTGGAGGGCATGTCACAATAACGATTTTCTAAATACAAAATAAAGCTGACAGCGTTACCACGAAGCAAAATAAACATGATACTATTGGAGACCTGTATCAAACATGTTATGAAGAAGCCTGTTAATTTACTTATCAAATGTAAACTCAAATTACTAAAAACAAAGTTTATGCAGAAATAAAGTAAAAATGTGGAATTTTAATAAAGTATTTTATTTCCAACATTAACACATTATAGCCTTAATCTAAATAGGTTTTACTAAATAGTTCTCAACAAATTAAATCCCCAATATAATATTTAACAAAATCTTGTTTAGAAAGGTGATCCGGTGTTGGGTTCGGTGTCGGGCTCGGTGTTTTGGGTTTGGTGTCGGGTTTCGGTGTCGGGTTCGGTGTTTTGGGTTTGGTGTCGGGTTTCGGTGTCGGGCTCGGTGTTTTGGGTTCGGTGTTGGGCTCGGTGTCGGGCTCGGTGTTTTGGGTTTGGTGTCGGGTTTCGGTGGCGGGTTCGGTGTTTTGGGTTTCGGTGTCGGGCTCGGTGTCGGGTTGGGTGTTGGGCTCGGTGTCGGGCTCGGTGTTTTGGGTTCGGTGTTTTGGGTTCGGTGTTGGGTTCGGTGTCGGGCTCGGTGTTTTGGCTGTAGACGTCGCTGCGATCAGTCTGCCTCCGTCTTCTCTTTAGTCCTGACTGTAGAATAAGTCACAGTGTCTTTGCCCAGTTTGACCTGCAGAACACAAACCACAAACTGTTTCAGTTCCATTTGGACGACTTGTACACATGTGGCTGTTGAACATGTTCACAATGTGTGCAAACTTCACATTCACATCATTTTAATGGCTTAAGATGCTGAAATAACATAACACTCCTCTAAAAACAGAAAATCAGGGAATTGCACCATGTTACATTTAACAAGATGAATTCAGTGTTCAGTGTTATAAGTCTAAAGCTCTTTGGGCCTCTCACCTTCTGAGAGGCTTCAGGAAGGTTAACAGTAGCGTAGGTCAGGTTGGACTGCAGCTCATCCTGAGAACAGACAGTTTGCTGTTATCTACTGTATCAGTAGAAAAACGTTCTTTGGGGAGAAGCAGAGAAGTTTGAACAGCAACATGTGGAAAATAAGTTTTAAGAAGTTTAAATATTTCAGAGAATAACAAACCAGAATGACTAAATAAAAACTTTAGTTATTTCACACAGTGATGAAATGAAAACAAATAAAACTGTTGGACAGAAATGAGGGACAGAGATGTTGATCAAATGGTCCAGACAGGTTTTGAACCTGAGACGGTCCTGTCAAAGTCTCTCAGGTGTGTCTGATCAACCTAAGGAGCTAAAATTACAAACATTACATTTCACATTGACATTAATTATTCTATTACTTAAGAAAACACGTGCTACTGTATTTTATTGACTGATAAAATCAGTTGTTAGCTGCTAATTGCTAATTCATTCTCTGACTAATTCAGAAAACAGGAAGAACCTGCAATCATTTCCTGTCGCTTTGTGCTTCATGAGCGGTAAAGATTTTGCAGAAGTTATGTTGAAACTACGTTTTCTGGTCATTCTTAAAAATATGGAGGTCAATTAGATGGTTTATCTGATCTCTATAGGAAACATGTTTATTTTAATACTCACATAGTGATGATTTCCACAGGCTGAATCTTGATCTTCAGAGTCAAAGGAAAACAAATCGTCAATGATTTTCATGAACACTTCTGCTTATTAGTGTGCTGCGCTGCGGTTACTATGGAAACAGCGCTTCCTTATTCTGAGGCCCGACTTTCAACATTAGACAGAAACAGACGTGAACCACAACAGGAAGCAAATGAAGCTGTTTGGCTCAGAGAAATTAACGTAAAATGTTAACAGTTCACCAGAACAACTAACCACCAGCTAACTATCTCACAGGTTAGTTAGATTTACATGCTAAAAATATAATACAGTAACCAATTATGAAGCGAACATTACATTTTGTCAAATGTTATCATCAAAATCATCAATAACAACATAATATATCAAACATTAATCAATATCCAGTTATTGTTAATCAAAGGCATCTCTAAACAGGTGAGATTTTAGTATTTATTTAAAGGAACTCTCTTTTTCTGGAAGTTAGTTCCAGAAGCTGAATGCTGCTTCTCCTCGTTTGATTTTTGGTTCAGGAGATGCAGATCAGACCAGAACCAGAAGTATTTTATAGTCTATTCTCTCAGTGAAGGGACTTTAGAAGTGAGTTGATGTGCTCTGTCCTCCTGGTTTTAGTCAGAACTCCAGCAGCAGCGTTCTAGATCAGGAGGATTTTTCTAGTCAGGCCTGTGAGGACACTGTTGCAGTAATCAATGTGACTAAAGATAAACGCATGGATGAGTTTCTCTAGATCTTACTGAGACATTAGTCCTCTGATCCTGGAAATATTCTTCAGGTGATAAAAGGCCGACTTTGTGACTGTCTGTATGTGACTCTGAAGGTTCAGGTCAGAGTCCAGATTTCATCCTGATCTCAAGTTTCTAGCTGTGATAACTGCAGCGGTGTGCTGACTCTGGATCGTTGTCTTTAGGTCCACAGATAATAACTTCAGCAGCAAGAGATTATAGAATTCACTCAACAATAATCAATAATCAATAATAATATGGATTTCACACTGAGTGTGATTAGAGCATCACAGCTCAAGACCCAGTTTTCTGTTTCCTCCATCCTGCACACAGAAACAGTTTTCCTCTGCGTTGTGGAAAGCTTAAGGCTGGAGTGGCAAAGGTCAAGCGTCTCTGCTATTATTATCCAGCAAAGTGTTTTATCTGTAAATAGCTGATAAAAATGTTTTGAGGAAATAAGAATATGAAAAATATTTTTGTTTTTACATTTTCTTTACAGCTTTTCTTTCTGTTGTTTGAGAATAACTCTACCTTTTCATGTGAACCAGTGGGTCCAAAGTGGGTCCTGGAGGCCCGGCATCCTGGATGTTTTAGTTCTCTGCTTTAAAGCACCTGGATCAAATGATGCTCATTAGAGGCCTAAGAAGAACATCGACATGCTGAGGAGGTTGTTGTTACCACCAGGGAGAGAACTGAAACATGCAGGATGCCGGGCCTCCAGGACCCACTTTGGACACCCCTGATCTAAATACAGCAGCTTAACATGAATAGATGATAGGGATTTTGACTGATTCAGCCTCTCTGAGGATGACCTGATGGTGGCTTCATTTAGCCTTTGCTTGAAATGTTGTGTTCCTGCAGAACATCTAAAAGAAACTTTCATCCAACAGGAGCGATAACCATCTTAGGGTCTGTAGATCGTCAGAGGGAAGCCCCCCCCACCCCCCCACGCTTCCCATCTCTGGATTATTTCATTATTATTTTTTAATTTCCCTTTGGGATTAATAAAGTATTTTGAATTTGAATTCAATTCAAATTCTTCTAAAATCCACATGCATCTTTCTTTTTCCTCAGTCTCTGAAAGGTTTAACATAAAGCTGTGCATCAGAACATGCTTGTTTATTTGTCTGCATTAGCTTTAAAAACATTCAAGATTTTGAACTATCATAATGAAGATTTGTCGATTGTTTAAATTGCCTTCAGTACCTGATGAAATTCTGTGATCTTCTCTATTTCTGGTTTTCCTGAGTTTGGTAAAAACAGCAGCAAGAACAACCAGCAGCAGAACGCCGATCACTGATCCAATGATGATGATGGTGGTGTTATCGGCAGGAGCTGCTGTTAAAAGACTCAAAGATGAAAAAACTTTTGTGGCGAGATGGTGTCCGACACTCATCACTCTGAGCACCAGGTGAAATCAGAATCACACCTCTGATTAATGCCTTTATAGCTGTACAGGTTCCAGCTACAAATTTCATAACCCCACCAGTTATCCTCACTGCTCAAGAGCCGTCTGCATGCAGTGGATGCAGCCACCCACTACATATGGATATGCATCCCTTAAAAGGATCCACCTAGTGCCCCTAGAGCCACCTGGAAACCCCTGCCTCTTTCACCGAATTGCCTCTCCATGCACATAAAGCAAGTTGGCGGCAGGATGACCATGAACACAGTTCATGGCATTTCCTTCTCTTGCTGCTTCCTAGAAAACAACGCATGCTGCAGAGTTAAATACGACTTAGAACAGCCATACGGCTTCTTTAAGATGCTAAGATCTTAGCTGGATCATTCCTTCTGCACTAGTGCGGTATTTTATTTCCACCCTTGCCTCCCCCTCTCGGTGATCAAAAGGAAGAAAGCCTGATGTGCTGCCGGTCGGTCCAATTACATGTTTGGGCCTCTTCAATCCACTCACTGATTCCAATGCCAGTAATACCATTGAACTTGTGACAGAATCTGTCCCTGAGCAGCACCACCAACTGCTCAGTAACCACAACAACAGCAAGCATGACACTGCCAACCACAACCAGGAGAGCAGCAACTTCCAGGAATCCCCCGTTTGCCACCCTCTGCTGGGCTACTCCATCCGCCGGCCGCTCCTCCATACTTGCAGGGGAAAAATCACCTCAAATTGTCAAAACAAAATGGTAAAAATAAATCCTGAACCTAGAGGTCTGTCTTCCTTTGGACAACTACTGCTGCCTTGTCTTACAACACCATAAGAAGATAATTTAAAAAAACATCTAAAACATACTACACTTAAAAAGAATCAAGTCTGTGTTCAATGATGCATTTTGCTGAAACACACCAAACTATGAATGCGTCCATCAATCAGAGATGTGCTTCTGATGTCACCTGGTGCTCAACACAGGGAGGGAAGAAAACCATCTCAACACATTTGCACATGGTGGAAAAAAGGGAACAATGTATACTGAAGATTAAACAAGCTACTGCTTAATTTCACTAGGCCTACATAGATCGATGTAATCACAGTTTGTTTCAACGTTTGTCTTAATAAGATGACGTCATACCTTCATGTTGGTAGTGAGCTTTTACCTTCACTTCGTTTCCTTCAACAAACTGGCAGGTGAATCTTCTGCTGCTCTGAAGATTCACAGTCAGATGAGAATCACAGCCAGTCTGTCCTGATATGTATCCATCACCTTCACCAGTCAGTTCAGTTCCTGTCTCATCCAACCAGCGGAGACTTTTATCTGGACAAGAATTCGACCCGCTGTATCTCCACAGAGAACACCCTAATGTTATTTCTCCATCTTTTGCTAAAACAGCATCTGGAGGAGACGGAGAAACTGAAAGAAAAAGAAAAACTGTCGTCTTAGATTTCTGAAAAATGCAGAACCACTTTTTGAAGAGAAAAACTAAAAAAAACAGAAAAAATGTTGTCTCAGTCTGTGAAGAGTAGACAAAGAAACGAAACCTGATAAAAAGTTTAGATGCCTGTATCGTTTTTGGAGACTGACCTGCATTAATATTGTAGATCTGAGAAAGTTTTCATGAGCATGTTGGAACAAACCAAGGAATCCTAAAAGTTTTTATTCAGTAGTTTGATCAAACATTGAACCACAAAACAAGACAAACTGATTAAATCTAAACATCCTCAGCACAACGTTCACTCTGATGAGCGACTTCCTGACGTCATCACAGCTTGGCCCCGCCCCCAGATCAGACAGGAAGTAGAAGAAATGCATGGACTGATGGGTAATGTTTGCCTGAATCTAAATAAATGATCGTTTCTCTCTGACTGAACAACATGTGACCTTCTGACTGCATCAGGTCACTGAGAGGTTCCCTCATGTTAAAGTCCAAAGAAGTTCAAGGTTCAGAGAAAAAGGAAATCAGAACTGATGATGTCAGAAACATCTGTCCAACATTTCACCAAGTAGATCAGAAGGAAAGAGACTGAGAGTTAAATCATTCAGGTCTAAATACTCACTGGATAAAACATTCAAAAGCACATGGCCATCAGAGGAGGGATCAGATCGAGATCTACAGGCGTAGCGTCCAACATCAACGCGATCGATGTTGTTGATGATCAGAGAGCAGCTGCTGTCCATATTTAACCTGGAAGCTCGAGGTGAAACATCAACAACTTTTCCATTTTCAACCTCCAATGAAAACCTTAAGCTTGTATCGCTGTAGTAAAGCCACTCAACGTTGGAACATGAGGATAAAAATGACTGAATGTCACAAGGTAAAACAACATTTTCTCCTTCTCCGTGATAGAGATTACGTTCTTCTCTGGTTCCTGCAGAAGAAACAAAGACACATTAAAGTTTTTCATACTTCTTCATTCACTAAAACAATCATGAAGGTGAAACTAGAAATGTGTTGTTAACTTATTTTCTGTCATGTTTGACTTATTGTTACATTTTCTCCATTAGAACCTCTTAAATAGCTGTTTGAGACACATTTGTATCAAAAATTCTTAGTATTTCAGTCCTAATCAGGTCAGAAGTTTGAGAGAAAAAAGAAAAAACTTTGAATCAAAATTTTATGAACATGTTTATTTTCATATATACATGTTGAAAACCTGAGTAATAAATGCTACTCTAACGTCTGGGAATATGAAAAGGTAATTGTCATTAAATATAAACCAAAATGTCTTTCAAGTTGTTTCATCTTCATGTGAAAGAAAACAGATCTTTACCTTCAAACTGAAGAACGACCAGAACCAGAACCAGAACCAACATCTCCTGTCCGTCTATCAGCAGCTGAACTGAGAGACTTTTCTCTGCTGCTGATCTGAAAACACTGATGATGTTTCCTGTTTGTGGCTGAAATAAAAACAGCTTCACACCAACACCCAGCATGCATCCCGTCACTCTGCTGTCGTCACTTTTGTGTTTTCTTTAGAATCTGAAGTAAATCCACAAATAGGAGGAACTAGTTGCACAACCTTTAGTTAGAAATAGACATTTAAGCTCCATTTCACTGAGTCACTTTGTGACACTCAGATCAACTAAAGTGAATCATTATTCTGATTAAGCTTTAGCTGATTATCAATAACATAAAGCAGATGAGTACTGAGGTTTTATTTTGTAGAAGTTATTGCTTTTTTTCTGTATATTCTGTTTTAATTTCTTTTGCAAAGTAACTCTTTGCAAACTCCAGCATGCTAATAATTTAGATCAGAAAATCTGGCTCTTCTGTAAACAGACCATTGAATGATCTGCTGGTCATTGAATTATTTGATGCAGAAAATGTTTCATTTGGTTTAAGAAATTAACAGACAGTTTTGGTCATTTGACAGTTTGTCCTTAATCGTTAAATGGTGATTTAGAGATTTAGTGCTGTGAAGAGTTTCTGTTGTCTGATTATGGATCCATCTGACTCCAGAGGGATTTCAGTGAACAAATACGGAGATTTTGGTTTTTCCATCGCAAAACACAATGAGAACGAAGGGAATAGTTCCTCATCTGTTTATCTCTTTTATTAGGAAATTCAACAAGTAAAGAAATTACACATGCATACAGAAACATGTTTAAAATACAACACTGTTTTATATAAACTGTAACTGATTTGTGATGAAGCTCAGTGCAGTGCGGCGGCAGCAGAACGTTCTCCATCATTTTCATAATCCACTGTGTCGTCATCAGCAGCAAAACGAACTTGAGAGAAAAAAACAGATTGACTGGATAAAACTGATACATATAAAAGGTCTATGAATGTATTCATCATGATTGTTTCTCTTACTTTAATGTCTTTCTGAGGCTTTTTTCTTCC